TTCCCATGCACGTGACGTGAAGTGACTGAAAATACCAAGGCCTGGGTTAGGAATACTTTAGTCTTCAAAGTGATATCATTGCTTCTTAACACTTTAAAGAGGTCTTTTGTAGCATATATCTGCCCAGTGCAACATCTGATTTCTGCAATGCTGCTTTCATTGGTATTGACCGTAGAACCAAGAAAAATGACATCCCTGACAACTTCAATCTTTTCTCCATTTATTGTGATGTTGCTTATTGGTCTAGTTGTAGAGTTTTCATTTTCTTTATGTTGAGCTATATACCATACTGAAGATTGTATGTAGTCTTTGATCTTCAGCAGTAAGTGCTTCAACTCATCTTCACTTTCAGCAAGCAAGGTTGTGGTGCCTGCATATTGCAGGTTCTTAATAATGGTTCCTCCAATCCTGATGCTGTGTTCTTCTTCATACACTCCAGTTTCTCAGATTATTTGCTGAGCATACAGATCAAGTAACTATGGTGAAGAAGATACAACCTGACACACATTCTTCTTCATTATAAACCATTCAGTATCCCCTTGTTCTATTCAAGCAAAGCCTCCTGGTCTATGTACAGGTTCTTCATGAGCACAAATTAAGTACTCTGGAATTCTCATTTCTCTCAACGTTACCCATAATTTGTTATGACCCACACAGTCGAATACTTTTGCATAGTCAATGAAACACAAATAAACATCTTTCTGGTATTCTTTGCTTTCAGTGAAAATCCATCTGACATCAACAATGATATCCCTCATTCCATGTCCTCTTCTAAAACCAGCTTGTATTTCTGAAGTTGCCCATCAACTGATTTTGAATTATCTTCAGCAAGATTTTACTTGTGTGTGATATTAATGATATTGTTCAATAATTTCCACTTTCTGCGGGATCACCTTTCTTTGGAATGGGTACAAATATGGATCTCTTCCAGTCAGTTGGCTAGGTAGCTGTCTTCCAAATCTCTTGGCATAGCCATGTGAGTCCCTCTAGTGCAGCACCTGTTTGTTAAAACATCTCAATGGGTATTCTGTCAACTCTTGGAGCCTTGTCTTTTGCCAATTCTTTCAGTGCAGCCTGACTACTTCCTTCAATATCATTGATTCTTGATCATATGTCACCTGTTGAAATGGATGAACATCAATTCTTTTTAGTACAGCAACTCTGTGTATTCCTTCCACCTTCTTTTGGTGTTTCCTGAATTGTTCAATATTTTGCCCAAAGAACCTTCCAATACTGTAACTTGAGTCTTCAATTTTTTCCTCAGTTCTTTCAGCTTGAGAAATGCCAAGTGTGTTCTTACCTTTTGGTTCTGTAACTTCAGGTCTTTGCACATTTAATTATAGTAATTGACTTTGTCTTCTTGAGCTGCTCTTTGAAATCTTTTGTTCAGACCTTTTATCTTGTCATTTCTTCCATTTGCTTTAGCTACTCTCTGTTCAAAAGCAGTTTCAGAGTCTCTTCTGACATCCATTTTGATCTTTCCTTCTTTTCCTTCTTTTTAATGACCTTTTGCTTTCTTCATGGATATGTCATCTCACAATTTCTCTGGTTTTTGGTCACTGATGTTCAATGCATCAAATCTATTTCTTAGATGGTCCCTAAATTCATCAAGGTCATGAGGCTGGCATAGGACCAGGCAATGTTTTGTTCTGCTGTGCACAGGGTCACTATGAGAGTTGGAGATGACAGCACCTAACAACAACAACAAAATCAAGGTCAGATAATTTGGCTCTCATGGACTTGTTTTATTTGTCTTTAGCTTCAACTTGCACTTGAGTATGAGCAGTTGATGGTCTGTTCCACGGTCAGCTTCTGGCCTTGTTTTGGCTGAAGGTACTGAGCTTTACCATCACCTCTACCCACAGATGGAGTCAACCTGATTCCTCTGTAGTCCATCTGGTGAAGTCCACGTGTACAGCTGCTACTTATGTTGTTGCAAAAAGGTATTTGCAATGAAAAAGCCGTTGGTCTTGCAAAATTCTATCAGGCGATCTCCATCGTCATTTCAATCACTGAGGCCCTATTTTCCAACTACTGGCGATTCTTCATTTCCAACTTTTACATTCTAAACACCAGTAATAATCAAAACACCTTAACTGCATTTGGTCAATTTCCTTGTCTTTGGTGCTTGATGCATAATTTGAGTAATAGTAATGTTAACTGGTCTTCCCTGTGGGCGTATGGATATTTTCCTATCACTGACAGCACTATACTTCAGGATAGATCTTGAAACTTTCTTTTTGACAATGAATGCCATGCCATTCCTCTTCAATTTATCATTCCCAGCATAGTAGATCATACAGTTATCTAATTCAAAAATGGCCAAAACCTGTCCATTTCAGGTCACTAATGCCTAGAATACCAATCTTTACATATTTCACTTCACTTCTGACAACTTCCAATTTTCCTAGGTTCACACTTCATACATTTCACATTCCAAGTATAAATGGATATTTGCAGCTGTTCTTCCCATTTGAGTCATGCCACATCAGCAAATGGAGGTCCCGAAAGCTTTACTCCATCCATGTCATTAAAGTCAACTCTACTCTGAGGAGGCAGCTCTTTCCCAGTAATATTTTGAGTGCCTTCTGACCTGAGGGGCTCATCTTCCAGCACTATGTCAAACAATTTCAGGGCTATTCATAAAGTTTTCTAGTTCGTAAGGTTTTCACTGGACAATTTTCTGTGAATTGGATGGTCCCTTCCTTCTGAGTCTGTCTTAGTCTGGAAGCGCTACTGAAACCTGTCCACCATGGAGTGACCCTGCTGCTGTTTGAAACACCAGTGGTATAGCCTCCAGCCTCACACAAGCCACCACAGCATGACAAACTGACCAATGAATGATGGAATACATCAATACAAGCAGTATTATCTATAAATAAGGAGGCACAAACTACTTATTCATGTAACAATACGAACAAATCTCAAAAGCATCATGCTAAGTGGAAGAAGTCAGACACATGAGCCCATGTATTTGTACAATTCCATCTTATAAAATTTTCTGAAAATGAGAAATAAAACAAACAGAAAACATAATAAATAAAAAAATGTAACAGTGGTTAAAGGATGGGGAAGGACTAACACTCAATGGGCCCAGGGAACTTTTTAGGTGGTAAGAATATTCTGTATCTTGACTTGGTAGTAGTTACATGATTGCATGACATCTGTTAAAACTCACATGAATCTTACACTTAGTATTAGCAGATTTTGTTCCACATAAACTGTACTTCAATAAAGTTAATATAAAACACTAAAATTTGTGGGAACTGCAATTAATGTCCTGAAACAAAATGTGTATCAACCGTTGAATGGGAAACAAATTTGCTCTGCCAACTTTCATCCAAATCACAATTTAAAAAAACAAAAACTTCTGAAACAGTAAGCATATGGTAAATTACATCGAGTTTTAATCTTACATATAACTTGTGATTTATTTTTAGTAAATCAATCATCACCCAAAGAAGATATAGCATTATTTTTCCTCTTTACTTAACTCTGTACATAGAAACACTGCATTGCTATCAACACAAAGAAAAATTGTGCACTTGTCTAGGACATAGAAACTGTAAGATGACCCTTGAACATCCTATACCAGAGAATCAGAAGTACTCTAAGAATGATGGAAACCTGGGGAAAGGACTCAAGAGTCAACTTGGAAAAGCTCTCATAGTTAAATCTAGGATAACTTGAGCATTAAAATAAAACAGTAATGAATTATAACCCTCTATATATATCAAACCCACCAGCCACTCCTCGGAAGGAAGGTTGGGCAATCCTACTTCCGTAGTGATAACTGCCTCGGAAACCCAAGGAGGGGTCGCTATGAGTCGGGCCGACTTGACGGCAAATAACAACAACAACAACATATAACAACCTCTAGGAGCTCTGGTAGCATAGTGCCTAAGGCACTTGACTGCTCACCAGAAGGCTGGCGGTTCAAACCCAGCAGCCACTCCTCGGAAGGAAGGTTGGGCAATCCTACTTCCGCAGTGATACCGCCTCGGAAACCCAAGGAGGGGTCGCTATGAGTCGGGGCCGACTCGACGGCAAACAACAACAACAACAAAATATAACAACCTCTAAGTCTATACTAAAACTTAATGAACTGCATAAATAAATAAAAGAGAGCAGTAAATAGCCAACAAATAAAAGTAGCTGCAATGATGGAGTCAGAACATAACCACTGTGTAACCTTCACAGTAATGATAACTCAGATAAAAATCATGAATGGGTTCTAAAATTTATGTATAAAATTTCAATTACAAAGAGGATCTTTACATATTATCTCCTTCCAAGTTACTTATTAATCACAAGAGGAAAATAGTAAATTTACAATGAAGAAATTTGGCAGACACAACCTTAACCAACTGTTCAAAGATAAAATTACCAACAACTGAACAAAACATAATCATAATAGGCATTCTGAAGTGATGCTCCGAGAAGGCTTCCATCATTTATCTTGTATTTTGTAAAAAATGCATATCTGAACTTAATCAACAAGAAACAGACCTCAAGCTAGGAAGACTTTATAAAATTACCAGCCTATGTTGTTGTTGTTGTTGTTGTTATGTGCCATACACTTCAAAAATATCCTGAAAGAAAAATAACAAACTGCTCCAGATTAAAGAAATATGACAACTAAATTTAATGTGTGGTCTTAAATTAAAATCCCCATGGGGAGGGGTACAAAAGGAGAATAAATGACAAAATTACAGACAGTAACACTTAAATGTCCTAATTTTTATGGCTGTCTATTATTTCACAAAGACGATCTTTCTTAGAGAATACATATTGAAGTATTTAGGGGTGAACAGGCATGATATCCACAACTTAGTCTCAAATGATTCAAAACAATATGTATATAGAAAGAATTGAAAAAACACATACTACAAAATGGTATTGGCAGGTGAATATGAAAGTAAGTATTAGAGTTCTTTATATTATTATTTAAAGTTTTCAAATAAAAAATTCTAAAAAATAAAAAAATACTTTACACTTACTTGTTGCCACATAGCCTAGCTGTGGAACCAAATGTTCATCTGCAGAATTTTCTCGGCCTGGTACTAATCTCTGATACTTAGTTGGATGAGGATTTCCATCTACATCTACCAAGAATGGTGGAGGCATAAGATGAGGAGCCTGCTGAGTTTGCTCATCTAAGACATAATTATTAGAATCCCTAATCAGTGGTCGATAGTCAGTATGGAAGAACATCTGATCAGGAATCTAGAAAAATGAACATTGGTATTTTTGAGGTTTATATATGTTTAAGAAAAAAAATAGCACATTAAGTCATTAATTATAATTAAAAAGAACCAAAACAAGTCAGTATAGCTAAAAAGCTATTTCTAAAATACACTTCAAAACTTATTTTGTATGCTAAAACAAAGTATTTAAAATGACCTTTTCATATGGCTTGCTGCATCCAAAACCAAATATCATAAGATGCCCATGTGAATCTGTACAAGCAAAATGCTGTCCATCCAGTGAAAACTTACAGTCAAACACAGCTCCAAAGCCCTGTCCTTCAATCTAGGAAAGAGAAAAAGAAGTTATAACCACTTCAGTGCAACTGCTTTCATTATGTAAACATTATTCACATGGATAACATGCTATAAGATATCCCTACCAGAAAAAAAGAAATTTTTAAAAAATTTCCATTAAGCATGTAAGTCAATTTAAAATTCGTTTTAGAAGACACTAGCATTCAAGAGATCTTAAAAGATCTTCTGAACATTAATTCTCAAAAAAACCCAATAAAGGGTCATACCCATTCAAAAATGAAGTCTTTCCTTACTTTTTATGACTAAATGGTACAATTTCATGACTTGTTTTTATATACAGTAGAACCTGCAAAGGCTGGAACCTGTGTTAAAGTAAAAACCAGTCAGAGAAGGAAAACTAAAATATTTTCCACTAAAATGAGCAAAAGAAAAGTGTTAAGAATATACCCAGTCAAAAGTGTGAGATCTAGAAAATTAAACCTGAGTTCCAGCTTTCACAGGTTTCCCTGTATAACAAAAAGTTTCTAATATCAAACTAGGTAAGTGATAAAAAATTAACCAACACTGGTATTTGTGAACTAAAATCAACAGTGTTTTGGAGTTTTAGGAGGCTTCTGCTTCAAATAATAAGGTAATAAATTGTCATACAAAAGTTTTCAAAGCTGTATGGTCTCAAGGGTGCATATGTAAATGCATGCAGCTACTACAGACCACCACAATTTCAAGAAGGATGTTCTAAGTACATCATTAGTTAAATAGACTACTTTTTAACTGTTTTTTTCTTGTTTTGTAACTGTAAATTGTATTAGCTTATTGTTGTGGGTCATCAAGTCAATTCCAACTCATAACAACTCTACAGGACAGAGCATACTTGTCCCATAGGGTTTCCTAAACTAAAATCTTTACTGGAGCAAAATGCCACATCTTTTCTCCTGTGGAGTAGCTGATGGGTTCAAACCAACTGCTGACTTTCAGTTAATAGCTGAATGCTTAACAACCACACCACAAGGGTTGTTTAGCATTGCCAATTTATAGGTGAGCTGTGCAGTTAGCTCTACAGTGTAGAGTTGGGCAAATCTGTTGTTTCCAATACCTAAACTTTCAAGAGAAGTTTGTTCAGTGTCACAAAACTGAATCATCCAGCCAGTAACTGCTAAAACAAACTTATCCACATCCCCAAACGCCTTTTTGAACACCAACACTACTACTGCTATGCTGCACATAAATGGGTGCCAATTAATAACATGAAGATAAAATAAAGACATTTGATACACAGCTGAATAACATAACAAGTATGTAAGTTTATATACTCTTACAAGATTAAAGAAAAAAATGTATATATATATTATTTCTCTAGTTCATTGTTAAAATATAAAACACACAACTAAGAAAGCCTTCAAAGAAAGGTCTAAGAACCAGCAACAGAGAAAGGAGAGTAAGAAATAGAAGGAAGACAGGAAATGTATGGCTAACTCTAAGTACATCATTAAACAGACTACTTTTTAACTCTTTTGTTCTTGTTTTGAAGGCAATGAACAATTGCCTCCACTACCAATGAGACCAAATAAACTGGATGGTATCCAGCTGCTATTACTGAACACTTTGATCAAAAATCCCACAGAAGAATTCTGATCAAAAGGGGAGAAATACAGATTGGAATTTCACATTCTTATTGATCTCACAATTTCTGGAAGATGGAGGGTAAATGGAACCCCAGAACTATTACCTTGAGATAATCTTTAAAAAAACTTAAGCCAAAATATCCCCTGAAGTCTTCTTAAAACTACAGTTTAGCTTAACTAATCAAAAAACAAAAAAAAAGTCCAGCTTCAGCATTATGCTCTTTTAAGAACTATCTACATGCACAGACCCTCTTCAACAAAGAAAAGAAAAACCAATTGACAGAGATACAGAAAATAATCCTAGAACCCTGAGCTCTGAAAGGAACTATACAGAAGTGGATTAGGCACCAACAAGTGGAAAAACCTGAACGAAAACAGTGAGTACAGAGACGATTGGAGCTGCAGACTGTCCATTACTACGACAAGACCAACAGCCTGAATATTTCCAAGTGGTGCTGGGACCTGAGAATTGACCTAAAGATCAGTCCCGGTCACCAAAGGCTGCAGGGACAACTGCTCTGGTAGACTATGAATAAGAAGGGAAACAGCAAGGAGGGAGACAACCTGAGCTGTGGACTTTCTGTTGCCCGGAGGGCGCAGCCATTTTGATTGTTTACACATGGCAGCCATGTTGGATATTTAAAGTGACGGAGGTACAGCCATTTTGAATGTTTGCAAGTAGCAGCCATTTTGGATATTTCAAGTGCCCAAGGGCACAGCCATTTTGAATGTTTACAACCAGCGACCTCTTTGGATATTTAAAGTGACCCGAGTGCACAGCCATTTTAAATGTTTGCAAGTGGCTGCCATTTGGATATTTAAAGTGACCAAGAGTGAAGCCATTTTGAATGTTTACAAGCAGCGGCCATTTTGGATATTTAAAGTGACCGAGTGTGTAGGTTTTTGAATGTTTACAAGTGGCAACCATTTTGGACTTTAAAATGATACCATCGTCATTCAGATTCTGGGTACCTAAGAATATGCTCTATTTGTCAGGGTCGGCAAGGACATACAAGAGGCTGACAACAGGAAAGGAGACAGGTGGTAACTGTATAAGTGCTGTCAACTAGTGAATAGAGGAGGACAGCACAGTACCCTGCCTGTATAAATAACATACAAAGAAAACAGAAATTGTGGGCAAATCACTCCAACATACAATCACCAATTAAATATAAACACAAAAACGTCACAATGCCTCAGAGACAATAGAGCATCACAGTCCACACAAAGAAACAAGATAAAGCAGGAGAAACAAGGGACCAGGATACAGACCCAGAACACATCCCTGAGAAAGACACAGCACTGGAACTCCCTGACAAGGAATTCAAAAGAATTATATTTAGGTATCTTCAAAGGACTGAGAGACAGACCAAAGAAAACACAGACAAAACACTAGAAGAATTTGGAAGAAAATACAAGAACAAAATGACAAAATAAACAAAAACTAGAAATGATTCTAAATCTACAGACAGAAATCCAGAAGATTAATACTAAATCTCAGAAATAGATAATCCAGAAGATTAATACTAAATGTCAGAAATAGATTAACACATTGAAAGGGCAAAGGAGTAGAATTGATGCAATGGAAGACAAAATTAATGAGACTGAAGACAAATACCTGAATACTTCTTTGGAAAGGGATCAATCAGAAAAAAGATCAAAACAAAATGAAGAAAACTTAAGGTTCACGTGGGATACCATC